TCTCCATTTTCATAGACATTTCATCATGACCTGATCTTTGGGGCTTTGATTATATATGTTATGAGGATTATTTTTCTGATTTTTTCAAGATTATGGGAGATCTCTAGGCATAAATATCTAATTTTCAAGTTAATGGTCCCTATTTTGGTATAAAAATTATAATAATTAAAATAATTATAAAAAAAATACAAAACTTATTTTGGTAGGTTCACTGTGGTCAGAGGATATTAAGAAAAATATAAACTTGATTTAACTCATTGAAAATAATCTGCATTTTCGTTAACCCTAAAATTGAAAAGAAAATTAATTTGGAGTAAATATAAATATAAATGGCATAAAAATTAAAAATCGCTCTCCACTATAATTTAATGTCAGGGGAGCTCCCCATAAAAATATTAAGTCAATTGAAGTTAATTTGCTTACTACAATGAATTTTTATGATAAAATAACATTTTTGATATTAAAATAATTATAATAATTAAAATACAACTTAAGAAATTATAAAATTGGTTTTGGGAGTTCTCTGTGACCAAAGGAACCTAAGAAAAATAAAATTTGAATTAAAATAAATACTTCATCTTTAAGCTATTTTTGAGCCTTTAAATAATTAAAAAATGAATTAAAAATCATAAAATTTACAAAATTGTAAAAACACACTAAAATATCACATTTGACTTGCTGATCAACTAGAACTAATTAAAAAAATTTTCCTAATCCTTTAAGTCAAAATATTAATTTTAAAAGCTTAAAAATGAATTTTCTTTAATTTCTCACTAAAATAAATCCAATAATTAAAATATAAGCTACAAAAATATGAATTATTTCTTTGGTTCCTTGGACTTAGAGAGATTTAATAAAAATATAAAACTTAATTTTCCACTTAAATATTACTTTATAGTTAATTAATGATTAAAAATAACAAATAATTTTAATAATTAAATTAAACCTTTAAAAATCATGAAAATTGGTCTAAATGGTCCTCTAACGTAGGTGAACCTCTAAATCATAAAAATTGGTCCAAGTAGTCCTTTGACCTAGATGAACCTCTAATAATAGTTTTATTTTCTATTGAGTTATTAAATTTTCATTGAAAATCCCTATTTTTTCACTAAAAATAACTATAAAATTAAATAAATTCAGAAAAATCACATTTTATCCTTTGATGTTTTAATTAACCCACGAGTGAGGTAACATGAAATTTTCAAGTCATTTGAGTCTAATTTAATGAATTATGGGTATTAAGGTCTTAAAGGCAAAAGGGTAATTTTGAAATTTAAGGCTTAACTAATATTTAAGTTGAACCAATGGACTAAATGAGCAATAAATAATCTTAATTGATATATTTTGATGACTGAAATATGGAAGGGATAAATTATAGGAACCAATCTCATTTTGGTCTTATAAATGATAAATTTGTAATTCCTTAAAATTAATGAAATTTGGAAGAGTATTTAAATAAGGAGATAGTAAGGTGAGGGGTTTGACTTTGGAAGATCATAATTCAATGATTTGAAGCCCCCAATTAATAGTTTATAATTCATGATAAAGATTAAGAACATAAATATTGAAAATCTTATAAACATGTAAACCTTTTTCTAAAATTACAAACCTACTCATTATAACTTATAAGGGCTTAGTAGTGAGCTAGGCTTAATCAAAATTTTATTTAATAAGGTTTATAAAGTAACCTATAATTAATTTAAAACCTTTCAAAATATTATCTGTTGATACCAAGTATTCCGACGATTTCACGATCCGAGTCCGAGCTGTTGGAATCGGCAGCGGATCACGAAATCTTGGTGATCTTCTCTATAGGAGTCCGTTTGGAAATCGTCCACCCTGCGCGCACCCCCCGAGTATAGGATTCAACAGGAATCGCACAAGGTAGATTGATAGAAACCTCTGGTAAAATACCCACCAGTACCCGTAACCCAGCAAAGAAAGTACATTACATTAGGGATTGGCGACTTACCCATTCAGTGACTTTGGCACTGGACGTTCTTAAAATGGGGTCGGGTGAATTAGTGAATTAGAGAATAGACAGACGTCTGTTGGCATTCCAGCCTATCCGCAAGAGGATCGTACCTCTTGGTCATGAATATCTGAATAGGACGAACCCGCCTACGTGGATATCTTTGCTTCGGAACAAAGCAATTAGAATTAGGCTCGGTCAACTGGCATGTGTATTATCCATATGGGAGATCTTCCAATTGAGGAGATCCATCGACCTGAGACGAAGAGAAAGGTCTATCTATCTTCTTTAGTTATTCAATGAAACCAATGATTCGTTATTGGAGCAGATAGCAACAACCATTTCAGCGGAGCTGCGTATTTTCCGATGGATTTCCATAGTTTCATTAGTAGAAATTGTTTGATGTAGCGAGTAATAGGCTCTTTCGCCGTTCAATAATTCTTGTTTAGGCAGTTCATATCATCCACACATAGTGATCTAAGATTTCAATTCTTCCATGTTTCAACAAAGCAGTAGCATATTGTTCCATGGAGCTAAGGCCAAAAAGATGGAAGAAACAAGTGTTTCCACGACTCTACCATCCGGCCAATTCTGTTCCACTGAATCCCCTTTTCATGGGCACATATCTTTACGGCTAAGGAATGGGGAATCTTTCTCCTGTTACATGAATCAAATGTTTCATTTCATCCGGGAAAAGCCATCTCTTTCTCAACAATGTCTTTGTCATTTGATCCAATAGCGTTCCGTTAGATAGGAACGGAACGCTATTTCTTAAGGGATAATCAAACATTAAATTCACTGAGCATAAGGGTGTTAACTGGATGAACTATATAGTAAACATAATAAAGCCAAAATGAACTCTAGATAGTTTCAGGGACTATGAAATGTCTAGGGCATTACCCGAGACTTCTTTATGATTCTTTGGAAATCTTGAAGAACATCTGGGCTTATTATGATTTGCTTAATAGAATCATCCTCAAAATTTGGAACCACCAAAACATGACATAGAATTATATATATCTATGTGTGTGTGTGTCTTGTAAGTACTAAACTTTCAGGTGGAGAAACAAGAAAACTTGCTAGGTACGCTTTTATAGTTTATATTGCTTTCTTTTCTCGTACTTTCTACACTGTACTTTATACTTATAAACTTGCATGATAAACAACGGTGTCACCCTGCATGAAAACTAAAACTGCCAGGATAGCCACAAAACTGAAACAAAAAATCAAAACTAAAATCAACCAAGATAAAATTCACCATCACAACATTCAAATTTTAAGATAACTAAAAATTTAATCACAAACATCACAAAACAATAATTGCAGCTAAATTAAGACGTCTATATCGAATGATTGTGAATCGCTTGGAGGAGGTAACATATGGTTGATAACGAGATTTCCCACGGTTTAAATGAAAGTACGAAATTCATTAAGTCGAGTTTAGTAAATTCATTTAGACTAAGTGAATCCGAAAGAAAATAGTGGTACCGGAATGAGGGAACTGTAGGATCCTAACCGGTGTCGCTCTAATCAACTTTAATATGCCCCATAATATTTAAATGACCATAAACATAGGGACACATCATATCTTGCCACATGAGAAAACTTAAACTCGCCACGACAAGGAGCTTGGAGCCAGCATTGTGGGGAGCACGATCATCTTCATCAGCAAGGGGATCTACGACAGCATATCTTTTCTTAGAATTAAAATAACAAAACCATAGGATTTTGAGGTTATTTGTCTAGTGCGACATAAATCTTCAACCTTCTCTTTAGGCATTTTGTATAGCTCTGCTGTACAATATAAACTCTAACTCATCTTAGGATTCCGAGATTGTCGTTCATCACGACCTAAATCCTCATATCTTTCAGGCTATTTGTGTAATTGTTTCACATGAATGTAAGCCCTAAATTAATAAAATAAACATGATGAAACATTTAAATATTTCTCCTCAAAATTGAAGTCAAACAATAGGATAAACTTGGAAGTCACCGAAGTTCTCCTCCGGATCTATGACATCCCCTAATTCTTCCTCTTTTGAATTTTACAATAAATGTTCCAAATTTGAGTCATTTTTCTTTCACATCTCTTTGTCCGATTTCAGTGAAAAGTTCTATTCTTTTGACCTCTTTGAATATAATATTCTCTATTTTTTATCGAGAATTTTTTAGGTAACTTCGGTTATCTAAGATGTAATTAAATATAGGGGTTTGCCCTTATAGGAAGCTTTTCCGAACCCAGCTTAATATAAACCCTATTTAATTCATCTTATTAAATAGGGGAACTTGTCAACAAAAAAAAAAAAAAAATTTTCGCAGACCAAACGGATGCCATACATTTCTTAGTTTATTTAATCGAGCCTCACCCTCAAGTTTTGTGATCAGTGTGAGTTCAATTATATATATATATATATATATATATATATATATATTAAATGTCTTTCCGAAGCGGGCGACGAGACTTCGATTCCGGCGGCCGACAGCTTTCAACGGGCAACTCCACAACCAAAATAGTGTCGATATTGACTGATTAATTAATGATTGAATCCAAACGTAATCCGAATTGGTTTGGATCAGAATATGCACGTTCGATATTCGGGCAAACCCAGTCTTGTATGCTACTTTGCAGAGCTGTTAACGATACTATTTCGAGTCAAGTTGGAGTCCGCTAGAATTAGGCTCAAAATCGACTCAAATAGATTTAGTGCAGTTCGAAATTGACGCATGGCTTGTTGTATTCAATTTCAAGTTGTGCCGACTTGAAATTGAATCAAGCTCAATCCGGCTCGAAATCGAAAGGATCTGGCTCAAATTGAGTTATTGGGGTCTGTTTCAGCTCGGAATCAGCTCGATTTGACTCAAAGTTAAAACTTACTAGCTCAAATTAAATTATTTGGATTCTTTTCAATTGAAAATCAACTCATATTAATTCGTGATTCATTAAATTTGATAAATTTACATATCGTTGTATATATAATTTTTATAAATTTAAATTACAAGGAGCCTATCTAAAATTCATTTTCGTACAATTAATCTTCGGCTAAATTCACGGCACCTGTACTACCGCCACTAGGGCAACTAAGATTTTTTCCGTGTTGTCTTCTCCGAAGCATAACAACGTTCCAGTCTGCATCTTCCAACATCCTTAACATGACATGGCCGGCGCATGGCTACGTGTCTGCCAGGACCTACTTCGAACCGGCGGTCGCCTTCGCCTTCGCGGCGTGTACCCTGGCCGTTTGTCTCGTGGAACCGCGTTCTCCTCGTCTCTCATCCCGTTAACCCAGCTTAGATATCGATCTGATTCGACTGCTACGTCTGCCTCAATTCAGAACCCGAAGGTGGTGACGACGGGGAGGGTCTCCGAAGGCGACGAAGGTGTTGCCAATTCTCCGCACCAGCGCACCTCTTTAAACGATGCCGAGATTGCTAAATTTTCAGCCATTGCGGAGACCTGGTATTGTACTTATAATCTATCTCTTTTCATACTGAATTTTTGTGCTTCAATTTCTTATTTATTAGATTGTAGTTCAATTTATTCTATGAGACTATTTGAAAGAAGTTGGAAGAATTAAGCAATGGAAGGGATGTCTCAGTAGAAGTAGTCTGAAATATGTTATGCATAAGCTGCTACAGCTGGTGGTAAAAATGTAACTTCATATTTTTTATGGTAGCAGAATGCAAAAAATTCCTGGGAGAAGTGCTATTTTAATGAACTTCTATGGTTGATCATAATAGTTGCTGCATCATGATTGCGAATGGTGGTGTAACAAGTTTATGTATCTTGTTCAATTATGGGAGAGGATAGGTGATAGTTTGACGTATTACAAAGATTTCTCATAATCAAATTGGATTTATGCTGGGCAGATCTACTATGGAAGCTGTACATTTATTGAGAGGTTTGACTGAGAAGTTCATTTATTGAGTGGTTTGATGGAAAAGTTCAGAAATAATAAGGAGAATCTACATATGATTTTTATTATTTAGAAAAATCTTACTATAAGGTTCAAAGAGATATCCTTTGGAGAGTTCTTGAGAAGAAATGTGTTGATATGACTTATGTTAAAGTCATTAAAGATATGTATAGAAGAACTGTTACTTGTGTTCGAACAGAAGGAGGATTGACCAAATATTTTCCTATTTCTCTTTGATTTACATTTTGGTTTAAGCCCATTTCTTTTTGCTTTAGTTATGGATGGTCTTACTAAACACTTGCAGGAGGATTTACCTTGGTGTATGCTTTTTGCTGTTGATATCCTTCTTGTGGATAAGACGAGAGAAAACTTGTGGATAAGACGAGAGAAAAGCTAAGGAAAAGCTTGAATTATGGAGGTCTACCTTGGAGTCTAAAGGCCTTCGTTTAAGTAGAATTAAAATTGAATACATGGAATGTAATTTTAGTAGTAGTAGCTCTAGTGACAGAAATGTAACTATGGGTGATCAAATTATTAAAAGGTGTGAACGCTTTAGATATTTCGGGTCTGTTGTACAAAGTGATGGTGATATTGATGGGGATGTTATTAGTAGAATTCAAGTTGGTTGGTTGAAGTGGAGGAATGGTTTGAGCTTATTGTGTGATAGAAAAGTACCGCTTATATTGAAAGGAAAATTGTAAATTAGTGGAGGAATGGTTTGAGCTTTTTTTGTGAGGCTCCTAAATTAGTCATTGTAGCCCTGGGTGCCTTGTTTAAAAAAAAAAAAAAAGGTAAAGTACTCTTAAAAATTATGTGAAACTTTGTTAAATAGTCAAGATAGGATGAAAGAAATGGCCAGCAGAAAATTTCGTAAGCTATTGGTAAAATTTCAACCATATGAACAAACATCTATAACGGATCATTCTATTAGCAATCTTAATCCTTGCTAATATACTTTTTTTCATATAAAGGCACGAGTGGAATTAGCTGCGTACAAATGAAAATTACCAACACAACTAAAGCCCATATGGTATTTTATGTGCTTTGTTTGAAGCCATTTCAAGAAGATTCGACATTGAGTCTTTTGGCATTACTATCTGTAGTATACGAAAAACATTCTTGGCACAATCATTAATTATTCTCATTCAACAATTCATTTTCCAGGGTAGTTGGCAGCTATTACAAATATTGGTTCAATGGGAAGGGATATTGCCAAAAGCCGTATACTTTGTTGCCTTAGAATAATTAAATTTTGTTATCTAGACTTTGACCTTGAGGGCAAGATTTTATTGATGGCGTTAGTAATGCTGTGAACTTTCTCTTTTTATTCAAGGGTCAGAAGAACTCCTAAATGTATGACGAATTGTTATTGAGATCTGAATAGTGGAATAGTGGTTAAGGCTAACTAACCACAGTGGAGAAGGCAACAATCTTATTTGGAAGGAATCAAAGGCAAAGATGCTAGCTAGTCTGTTAGTTGCAGATCTGTTAATAAGACTGTCATGATAGTTGGTTAATAAATGAGTGATGAAATAGTTGCAACGGTTTGTTTGTTAGCAACCGAATGCCTGATTTGAATAACTGCAACCAATTTGAACGAGTATAAATAAAGCTTTTATCGATGAAATTGGGCAGGCAGCCAAGATAATTTTTCTTCAACTCTTCCTTTCCTCTTCTATTTTATTAATTTCTTTTTCCCTCTGTTTGGGTTTTGGCCCGGGAGAGCTGGAGCTTTGAGCAGCTTAAATTTCTCGTTTGAGGTTATAGTTCTCAACATAAAGTGTTAGACACATTTCAAATATCCATATTACCACTTATTTCTACAAACTGCATATGTTATTTGTAATATTATATTTGAATTTACTAAAAGCGTCTTTATGAAGTATAGCAGGATGATGGTGAGGTTCAAGGTGCTTGGAAATCTGTTTGTTAGAGAAGGGTTTTTTGCTACTGGGCATGTGAGTTGATGGTAGATGGAGGAGGGTTCATCATAAATTTGAGCGGAACCATTAAGCAGAATCATGCCAACGAACTGTGAAAATTTGGGTTGATTCAGGGCAGAGAAGTTTTTGAAATAGTAGAAAATTAATAAAAGGAATTTATTTGTTAAGAAAGATCAAAGGAAGTTTTGTAGGAAGTTACTAAAACCATCATCTTCATGAGGATGATCCTTATCTCAACTATTTATTATTAGTTTTATGAATTCTCTCTCCCTCTCTCTCTCTGTTCACTTCTTTTGAATGTTAAAAAAAGAGCTAAATTCTGTTCTGCCTCATTTGTAGCCAAGTTATTTTTAGCCTCCATTTTTCCACTATCAGTCTGAGCTGGGTCTACCCATGCTTAAATTCAAAATATTGCCATCATGTTCTAAATGCATAGTCTATTCGTGCAGAGCTTATGAGGAATTGCACAGCGTAGAAAAACATAGATGGAACAAAGGCAAGAGGGAATGAATGGTAGGACTTGCACTTTGATCGAATAAATTAAAATATTGTTTTATATTGCTCTTTATTATTGCCACAGTTCGATTACGGACAAGGAACACATGATTTATAAAAACACTTCTGAAGTTCTCTCGTGTCAGTCTTTACCAGCAAAAGAAGAAAGAAAAGAAGCAAAACTGGAATAACTTTCTCTAGCAAGCTTAGGAAATAATGCTTGATCCAACTTTTATCCTTGTTTTATTCTTTTGAGCGCATTGATCTTGTTGTGGTGACATTGTAGAGTGAGGAAATTTTATGTTAATTGAGCTACAAATCCACTTTCTTTTAATGTCTCAAAATACTTGTTAGTATGCATCGCCAATTGTTGTTTGCCAGACATAATTATGATTCTATAGATCTATTTCTAGCAATGAATGCTTGTGATCTTCACATGTGGAGTGCAGGTGGGACTTTGAAGGGCCGTTCAAACCATTACACATGATGAATCCTACTCGTCTGTCTTTCATTCGGTCCGCTCTTTGTCGACATTTCAGGTTAGGCGAAATCACATCTTTCTTAAAAAGATTATGACATCTAGAGGAAAAAAACTATTATACTGGATTGTTTCATTATTTTAGTAAGGAAACATGTAATTTTCTGTTATTCTACTTGCACTATACATCTTTCTTACTTCTTTCATTTTACAATTTTTAAATGATTATATAACATACCAAAATGCGCTTTTTTAGATCCTGAAACCTTGCTTATAAATTACCTAGCTTTGTTTTACTCATTGTTTGCTAAGCTGCAAATGTTGTTTATGTATCAATTTTAACTTGTTATTCAATCTAGTCTAGGCCTACTACTCTAAGGACTCTCACATCATTCGCGTCATTGTTGCTTGATTCCTTATCCCTTGTGTGAATCTGATTAATCTATTTCTTCTTTTGCGGGATATTCTTCTAATTGTAACCATTGTTCACTTTAGTTTTGCTTTTTGACTGTCTTCTTTGTTGTTCTGTACTAATATCATGCTTGATATATAAATGTTTTCCTTTATTTGTTGTGTTTTAGTTCTACTTAAAAGAATCACAGATCGCACCTTGTTTGTCTTGCTTTTATTTAGTATTTTTGGATAGTATTTTTGCTAGACAATGCATGCACAAATTTTTAAGCAAATTTTTAATGCATGCATACACATCCCTTTATTAAATCAATATTCTTCACTCTTACCAGTTTTCAAAATGAATATTTTGGGAGTTGTCTCTCTTTTGTTCTTCTCCCTTGAAATGATTATATGCATATATTATAACTACACGCATAATATTTTTAATTTCATTTCGAGGGCACAACTTTAATTTTTTTAAATATTTAAATTTTGTATTACTCATACTTTAAGTGCTGCTTCACAATTAACTTTGAAACTATCAAGTTCTAAAAATGAGTTCTTAAAACAATTTCATCATATCTCACAAATTCTTTTTTTGAAATGCTTTTCAGAAAAAATCCATTTAGTATTAGACCTTTTGAAGGATTAAAAATTATAGATGTTGGATGTGGAGGTGGCATTCTCTCTGAGGTATGTTTTTGTACAATTGATTTATAATAATGAAGCATTTTTGAAAATAGTATTTTAGTTGGTAGTTCTTATTTTACTTACAACTTTGCGACCTGAAACCTTCAAAGTCTTTCCCAAGCTAATTGGGCTGAGTCTTGGAAACCATTGTTAATGAAAATATTTTAGTTCTCTCTCTTTATATGCTTTAGTGCTTATAGAGGCTGCCTTTCCTTGTACTATTTTAATGATCTTAGGCTACTAGTCTTGTGATATTTAGAGTTCCTTCTTTTCTATAAATAGAAGTCCTATCAAATGAGGTTCCACTTATATAAAGCAGTTGTGTATTTACTTTACGCACAATACACAAAATCAGTCATGTACTTAGAATACTGGTGTCCGGAACTCAAATCATCATATTTTGTTATGTTTTGTTTGGAGTGTCAAATTCCTATGATTCAAAGGCTTACAGTTTGCCGGCTTTAACATTTATTAGAGTAGATCAACTATTGATTAATTTTGGTTGGCAAATTGTTAGCGTTCAAGAAAGGATCTGCCTAGGCTGTTTATCTAATACTGCTTCACTAATCTTCTTAGGTTTTTATTCATGAGCTCCTTGGTGCATAACGAAATTGCAATATCTCATATCTATTTTTTCACATATTATGGAGCTCTCTTTACTTAAGGTTGTGCTTCATGTTAATCTTTTTCTTGTTATTAAATGATTTATGTAGATGTGTTTTCCTCTTAACTTTCCATCTGTTATCTGTGAAAATTTTCTTCCCCTTTTCACATATAGCAATTTCCTTCTGTTTGAGCATTTTGCGTGTAGCTGATGTGTAATTTGTTAAGCCTGCCTAAGGCGTTTTGAGGAAATTTGAAAATTTTTAATTCACAGAATTTCTTTGTTTATATATATATTTGTTTATTTCATTCTACAGCCACTTGCTAGGATGGGAGCTTGCGTAACAGGCATAGATGCTGTCGAAAAAAATATTAATGTTGCTCAAATCCATGCGGTATGGCTATCCTTACATGAATTATTGTTTCGTACTGCAGTCATGTGACTGCATATCTATTCTTAGATCATTGTGCAGATTTTAAACACATTTTTATGGACAAAATTAACAAACTATTATTCCAGGTGCTAGATGAAAATAAATATTTCATGGTCATATTGGTTGCATATTTGGATACTTGTATTTTATTTTTTTTCCTTGGTTTATTTTTCCTAAAATTAGATATAGTGAACTTAGATTAAAATTTTTAATAGAAATAATATTTACAAATGTTGCGCGATTTATTTATATTTCCTTGTGTTTATTTATTGTGTATCTTTAAAATGATTGTTATTTATTAGATTAAGTTGTTGGGTTATCCTTGGCTAGTTGGACAGGAGATTCCTATGTGATATTCTTATGTCACTAAGGTGAACTGCTAATTATCACCGAGCTATGTACACTAATGTGCTAGCTTTTGATTCGGAATACTCTCTTGACTATTTATACATGTCCAATTTAGTCTCAAATTATAAAAAATGGCTTCTTATTTTGAAATTGTGATATAAAATTGATCCCAACCAAGTCCTTGAGGGATCATTTTGGATCAATTTTGCATAATCTTGAGAAGAAAGGGTTGTTTGGTTAGAAGAATTTATAGTACATTGCAATTCTTCTGTTGGAATTTTAGAAAGTTATGTGTTTGCCACAAAGAATTATGAATACATTGTAAATTATGAATGAATTTGAAGTTTACACAGTTCATTTTGGCTGATGTTAGAATTTCACCGATGTAAAATGTTATCACAAGGTCGTCGTCCAAGTCCGTTAGTTGTCGCCCGTTTGCCCGCCTGTCTGCTGCGGGCAGCCGCCAACGTTTGACCACCGTCCCCCCTAGCTCCTCATTGAATGTTATAAGTAGGCCATCGTCCGCTCCCCCAGCTCGCCTGCCACCACTACCCACAACCGCCACCCGCCATATACAGTCTGCTACCTGTTACAACCACTCTAAACCCTAAAAGAAAACCACCATTTTAGTTTTTAAAAAATGAAATAAACATTTTCATGCATGGGTAAGATTGTATGAATGCAAAAAATAGAAGTATAAGTGTTATATATGTAAATACACAGGAATTGAGTGGTATGTTTACAAATCTTCCTAGCTTTTCTGATACTGTACCTCAATCTACATTCTAATATGTTCGGTTTATTTTCATACAGGTTATCCCATAATTGATCCGAATATGAAGGAGTTTTCTTTGACAGACTGCTCAAACTCATCCCATCCACCCCACTACCACTGGCTACCACCTACAATCCTTCCCCCTTGCTGTCCCTATAGTTATGCATCTTACTCTCACTGCCACTAGCACTTTGTGGCTGTCAACACCTCTGTTAGCCATCCCGTCCCACCCCTCCGATCTGCACCACCATTAGAATACCTTCAGGAGTGATTGCTTGTGTCGTCTGTGTTTGTGTTGTTATTTCTTATTTTTATATTAATGAAAGTCTTTTTTTGTGTTTTTCACTATTTTCTCTATTAGTTCCGGTATCATTTAGTATAAGAGTTAGTTCAACTCCAGCCCTATTCTAGGGTTCCCCAACATTTGCCCTTGCCCAATTCACCTCCAATTTTTTTCTTCCAATTTCCAACTCTAGTCATGCCACCGCAGAGCGATACGTCAGACTCTACTCGGGAAGAGATCCGCGATGAAACCCAAGAAGAGATTACATTCGACCGTGATCAAGAGAGTCGTAGGGAAGACAAAGACAATGATCTTAATCCGTTCCACTGGAAAGATTACAACGTCGAAGAATATCGACTGTGCTGTTTTGGTATCGAATATTAAAGGAGGCCGAGAGGAGATGCTCCTTTTGGAGGTCAGGGGGACTTTGACATCAAGATGGACTTACTAGAGTTCAATGGAAGCATGGACCCCGATGAGTTTATTGACTGGCTGCAAACAGTCGAACAAATCTTCAATATAAAGACGTATCAAAGGACAAGTGAGTCAAGCTAGCTGCAATTAAACTAAAAAAGAGCGCTTCCCTATGGTGGGAAAATGTGCAGAGACTGAGAATGTGGGAAGGCGGTGAAAAGATCATTGGGTGGGAGAAAATGAAGAAGGTAATGCAGAAAAAGTACTTCCCACCCCACTATTGCGAGGATATATTTTTGAAGCTCCACAACTTGCAACAGTGGGACTTTTAGTTGAGGAGTTTACAACCCAATTCAACCACTTGCAGCTAAAATGTGAATTGACGGAGCCAGAGGAACATACGGTAGCCAAATATCTTGGGGGTCTGAAACCCGCCATCAACAATGTGGTACAGTTGCAGTCATACTGGACGCTAGGGGATGTCCAGTTATTAGCCTTGAAGGTGGAAATGCAACAGAAGCAGAGCCAACAACAATCATCTTTCAAGCAACAACCTTCAGGCAGGCTATTGCCAACAATTATCACTATCGAGAGGGATATCTCGGGAGACACAAACAAGTTTAGACAAGGGAATGACACTAAGGAACAAAGTGGGAATAAGCGGGGGAAGAGCAACTCCTCTAGCACGGTGCCCCTAGGAAGTGCTACCGATGCCATGACTATGACCACATTGCCTCCAGCTGCCCCACGAGCAGGGTAATTACACTCACAGATCAAGGCGTTGCAGAAGAAATTAGTGATGAAGAGAAAGCCGAGGAATAAGGTGAGGAATATCACTTCTCTAGAGGAAGGAGAGACACTCATGATTTGACGAATCATACAAACCGACGACACGAGGGATTCGCAGTGGCTTCGCCTCAACATATTCTACACCCGCTACATAGTGAAAGAAAATGTATGCAACCTCATCATCGATGGCGGAAGCAACAAGAACGTGGCATCGACATAGATGGTATAGAAATTAGGACTCGCAACTCTGAAACATTGCCAACCATATTCAACGACTTGACTTAAGAAGGAGAATTAGGTCAACATCGACCGATGTTTCTTGGTGGAGTTTTTGATCGGAGGCCAGCTGTAGGACCAGTTGTGGTGCGACGTGGTCCTTATGGATGTCTGTCATCTCTTGTTGGGACGATCGCGACAATATTATCGAATGACTTAGCATGATGGATATAAAAACACATTCTTTCTCCAAAGACGGGAAACACATTTCCTTCGACGGAGCCCGATGTCACATGATCCCTTTATAATAGAACGTCATTAGCAGAACCGGTTTTAGTGATGATACCAGACGGAAGGACAGAGACCCCGATACAGGACATATACAACCAAAGTTATGTAGGTCGACAACGTACCAACAACATCGTTGCCATGCGAGAAGGGTCAGATTACTCTCACTGCACATTCAATTGAATAGATCATACATTACTTTGGGAAGATTCGCCAGTATAGGGGTAGTGCACAACCTCTGAAAGACAGATCGATATGTATATATGCTCGCAAGTGGGAAAATCTTCTCAAATACTTTGATAGGAAGCTCCTCTAACCCTGGGAGGCTGACACAGGCGCTGTTTGCGGCCTTACGTGGGCGCTGTTCGCACACTTATGCGGGCGCCATTTACCGTCCTATGTAGGCACTCCATTTCCACCGGGCAGAAGCCCTGTGATCCTTCATACTCTCGCGGGGGCCAGAGGCCCCGTAATGTATTGCTGGAACAGGGAGAGCATGAGGAATTGTGATCCTGCGCGAAGAATAGAGTAGGATTGCGATAGTTTGCGATCCAGGGGGGAGGGTCTGCTTCGGTTGGGAAGGGTTTTTCTGGAATTTCCTTGGCTTCGCCCTCTCTTTTTGTATAGAAGTTTCTTTGGAGCCAATTGTTGTCCTAGGTGTGTGTATTAGTCAGTTCAAATTGTGTCGTCTTCAGAGCTGCTGTGTAGAGTTCATATCACCTTTTATGGGTTGTATCTGAGGAGATGGTGGTGCTTCGGTTGTATCCTTCTCCGAGGTGGTGCTTGTTTCCTTCCCTTCTACATTCTCCAAACTTTCTCATCGCCACTTCACAGTCGCCGAACTCTCCCTCCGTCATCCCAACACCCTTCTGGTCCCTTTCCTACATATTATTCTGTTGTATTGTGTTCCTAACTTCGTTCAAACTCGTCCCCAACACCCCGCAACTATTGTCGACCACCTAAAATCCTTCCCACTTGCTGCCCCTACAATTCCACATCTTCCCCTCACTGCCACCAACACTCTGTGGCTGTCACCACCCCGCTAGCCATCCTGACCCACCTCACCGATCTCCACCACCCATTGGAATACCTTTAGGAGTGTTTGCTTGTGTTGTTTGTGTTTGTGTTATTATATTTACTCGAGTCATGTTGTAATCCTATTTTAATATTAATGAAAGTATGTTTTTTGTGTTTTCAACTGTTTTCTCTACTGGTTCCGGTATTAATACGTTACTTATGTCTTACATTCATTTTACACTGTATTATCTTTTCAGAAAATCAAACACTCTTGAAATTGGAAAAAATGTGATAATCTAGGACAAAATTGTTTATATACGATTAAACATGTGACTATTTTAGGATTTAACCTTTTTTGATTCATTCAGATGATTCTTGCCATATTTATGCAACATAATTTGGAAGGCATGAATTTGATAATCTTGGGATTGACCAACCTTTGTGTTTCTTTTAAGTGGGCCCTTGTGTTTTAAACTAAACAAGGCGTTATTCTCCTTCATTTAAAGCTAATTCATTAAGTTTGATGACGGAAGGAGGTTTGCATGTCTTATTTACTAGAGATCCTTCCAATATATACTATAAGGATGAGTGTAATGTCCATGTGAATACCTAAATAATCTACCCCACTTACCAAATACATACAATATTTTTGGCTTTTCACACACATTAAGATTCTCCCATATGTTGGATTATATATATCTGTTGGCTCCGGATTATTATTTATTCAAAAAATATTAGAAATTCTAAAGCTTTTGTTATAGTATAAATTATTTATTTTGAACTATAGATATGAGAAGTAACAATCCTTTTAGAGGCCGTAACATATGAAAG